ACACCCTTCATATGCGTATTAAACTGATTACAACAACTAATGTAACAGTCAATTTACTAATTTGATCAGATGAATAAATTATCTATGTTCATGTTGAAGACAAACTGCGCAGTGTCAGGATTGAACAGATATTTATATATCAAATATAAACATATCAATAAATCTTTTCTTAAAAGCTTTTTTATTAGAAATTTCTAATAATAAATATAAGGACAATATCATTTAATCGTGTTTTTTTTAATGTAACGTTTCACTCTACACATATGTTCATCAAATGTTCTTCTGCTAGCAATATTGTCTCTCAGTTTGATTTCTATCAGAGTTTAAAAAATACTTCATCTCATAAGATTTTCCAACAAGCAAAATTATTCTTTTTTCTTTTCATCGTTCATTTGATGCAAACCGATAAGAATTTATACATTACCTTAAAATAATTTAAAAAAAAATTAGACTATGAGAAGACAATAACGCTGATTAATTCTAAATAAAAATACTTCATTGTATGAATACTTTGTCTGATATAAAATTTAGTATAAAAACCTAGAAATAATATTGTTTTTTTTTCTATTGATAATATAAACTGTCTAAAAAGCAACTGCTATCCTATATTCTATCATCAAGCGACTATTTAGAGATAAGTGAATATACATCATTCGTAGTTTTTTATGTACAGATTAATTACGTTTTTTTTTGACAGTTTTGTCTAAAATGAAAGAAATTCATCATCCTTTAATAAGCAGAAACGTGAATGATTAACAAAAAAAAATCTTCTCTAAATCGATCGAATAATTGACGGTCTCTCCAACAATATAGACAAAACTGTCGAAAAAGCAAATGCAATCTTATAAAAAAAATATATCCACTGATTTGAAATCGCTCAATTATATATTTCAAAGACATTTTATAAATACATATATAGAATAACTTTGAATGATATCATTTTTAGAATGTGTTTAAAAATCGAAAATAAGAAAAATCAATCACAAATAAAATATACACACATCATTACATAAAATTGATCATCAAATCAATTATGTAGTGGTACGATATGAAATGATTGATAAGAAATCAATCAAAATTTTAAATATTCAAGAATTAACCTTAGAGTATATAAGAACATGAATGCATGATGATGAATCAATACATTCAAGTTGTATCATTACAATGCATTACAATGTTATTCAATACCCGGGTTATTATATTATTATTATTATTATTATTATGATATTACATTAAATATGAGGTAATATAATTTATTTTAAATGTTTAAAAATATTTCTTCTTTTTTTTTCTATTTTAGATGAGTTTCGTTATAGAACAGCATTGAGTAGTAAAATAAATAATTTTTTTTTCTTTCTTTTTGAGATTGAGTTTGAGAATGACATATGAGATTGAGTTGAGCTATTAATATTTTCATTGTGGGTCAAATAGCTATGTTATCTGACTCAATAGGGACAGATAGTTTCTTGCTACAGCGAAGCAGTGTAGCACTAGGGAAGGTCGTCATGAGTCGTAGGTCTCTATCGTATTTATATATATATATGGCATACCTTCGGCTATTGCTCTACCAGTCCGGCGTGGTCCGCCTGTTGTACCTATAGCAAATCCGACACAAAGATCTCTTCCTTGTCGCGCGCGCGCGTAAACCAAAATAAGCCGAAAACAACCAGAACAAAAAAAATATTCAATAGCAATTCAAATCAATTTATTGAGTAATGAAGAAAAAATAGAAATACAAATTACATTTTCTTTTTTACATACTCAATTGAGCTTATAACATCTATGGTATCAGGATGGTTAGGTGGAAGTGATTTTTGTTGGATAATGAGTGCTTTTTCGAAGAATGAAAGTGCTTTCGGGTAGTCACTCGAGCTCCTATACACCCAACCGATGTTGTTGTATGAAGTAGCTAATGAAGGATGATTGGGAGGGAGAGCTTTTTTTTTGATTTGATGTGCTTTTTCGTAAAATTCAAGTGCTTTCGAGCAAACACCCATTTCCTTATACACTAGACCGATGTTGTTATATGAAGTAGCCAAATCAGGATGATTAGGAGGCAGAGCTTTTTCTCGTATTTTACGTGCTTTTTCGTAAAATTCAAGTGCTTTTGAGTAATCACCCATTTCGTCATACACTGAGCCGATGTTGTTGTATGAAATAGCCAAATCAGGATAATTTGGAGACAGAGCTTTTTCTCGTATTTTATGTGCTTTTTCGTAAAATTCAAGTGCTTTCGAGTAATCACCCATGGCGTTATACACTGAGCCGATGTTGTTGTATGAAATAGCCAATGAAGGATGATTCGGAGGCAGAGCTTTTTCGTAGATTTTATGTGCTTTTTCGTAAAATTCATGTGCTTTCGAGTAGTCGCCCATGTTGTTATACACTAGACCGATGTTGTTGTATGACATAGCCAAATCAGGATGATTCGGAGGCAAAGCTTTTTCTTTGATTTGATGTGCTTTTTCGTAAAATTCAAGTGCTTTCGAGTAGTCACCCATGTTGTTATATGCAAGAGCAATATTATTGTAGATATTAGCCAATGAAGGATGATCTTCTGGTAAAGTTTTTCGTTCAATTTCGAGAGTCTTTTCGTAAAAAGTAATCTCTTTTTCATATTGGCCCTGCTGCCATTTCACTTTACCTAACTGGTGATAGATATGAGCTCTATCGCTGTCATCAGTAGCCTGTTTCAGTAATGCCATATAAAGTTCTTCAGCCTTGTCGAATTGTCCAATTTTAAGCAATAACTTACCCAGTCGGTACCATCCGCTGCCAGTGACCTCTCTTCGTATGACGTCGGTTAATTGTCGAAGTTGTTGATCGTCATCTGATGTGAGTGTAAGATCCACTTCATAGAGTGAATTTTTCTTGTCGATTTGTCGAACTTCACCAATTCGAAAAACACTGTGCATTGAGAAGAGAATTTCATCTTCCTGTGCGAACTCACTCAACTCCCGGATGGAAGCAAATGGAGTTGATGAAACCGTAGGATCAATTGTCATGATGAAAAGAATGCCAACTTGACCGTTTGTATCCAAAGCACCTTCAGCAAAGCCGAGTGAAATATTTCGATTTGTACTTGTAGATAAAAAATTATCAAAAGAAATCAACCCATCTTTGCTTTGGGAAAGTTTTTCTAGATCTTCCTTCGATAGCCCTTGACCTCGAAACAATGTTAACAACTTTCCATGGTATTGACTGACCTGCTTCTTGTACAATTTTTCAATTTGTCGATGTACGTCGCACAGGAAGAAGCCCATTCGAATGATGATATCACCACCCAATGTTCGTAATGCTCGATTGAGCATTTTATAGATGAAGCATTGCCTTGTATACCACCATATGGCTAATGTTGAATTATAACTGCGTCCGAAATCTTCAATAATTTTAAGTTCCGTCTTGTTCTCATGGTATAGTTCTTGACAAAAAGCAACCAGATCTTTGATTGCTTTTTCACCATGTTCCATTTCAAGGAGTATATCCTTGAATATTTGTGTGTACATGAAGCTAGGTTCTAGCCAATTGAGATCTTCACTAGAACCTGCTTCTTGTGTGCTAATAATACTAACTGTGATGTTGTTCTGGTTACATTGTTTTATAGCCAATTCCAATTTTTGGCAAATGTCCTTGATGGATGTGTGAACGCCTTTAATTTTTGACCAGTTTTGTGCCCATTCTTGATGGTGTGCTTTGTCACCACAAAAAATGTAAATAGTATTTAACTTGGGCATATCATGGATTGTTGGAACGAGACTTTGCCCAAGTGAGCCCGAGGAGATAACAAACGATGTCTCCTGACTATTTTCTTCGAGTTTGTCAATACATTCTTGAGATGTTGTGCATGGATTGACATGATTGACGACACCGCGTAATTGCGCGAGTGTGTTTTTGCAATCTTCATTTTCCATATTGATGTTGCTGTCAACCCAGATTACTATATAATTTTCAGCTATTTGTCGTTGTCGACTCATTTTGATGTGATGTTTGCTATTAAATTACTAATTGAATACAATGAACAATAAATTGCAATTCTGATACAGTTTGCCTTGTTTATATATATATTCGTTGTCGATTACTTTTTTTAAAAATTCTTCTACGTCATTAAATGTGGGTGTGGGTTTTTTTTGTTTTGTTGACACTCAAACCAAACTGTGTCTACTTGCAATTCAGTATATGGTTGCTAACAACATCATTGATTGCATTGTGATTCTTTCCAATTTTTTATTTCTTTTTCATCTACACAAGTACTTGAGTCTCTATACATCGAATGCCTTGCTTCTTTTTTTTCATTTTTATTATGATTCATAAGTTGATAAGGTAAACAAAAGGATACGAAAAATGAATTCAATTTTCATGGATAGAACGTAATATTTAACTCTCAGCGATACATATGGTGTCTCATAGTTACTGAAGTTATAAGAAATTACCTGTTTGATTATAAATGAATATTGATGTATCTCTTTTGAACAACACTGCAAAGCACGTTGATTGATATTCATATTTATTCAACAAAGAATAGAAAAATTGATTGAATTACTTTTTGAAACTAAAACTGACAGTGATATTTAAGAAAACAAAAAAATGTCTCGAAATGAATGTTAGTATACATGGTTGATGTTCTTTTGTATAAACGCAATGACCGTAATGGTGATTAGATGATTCTGTTCGTTACCATCCTAAAATGTAACTATGACAAAAATAAAGCGCATAAACAACGAAATAAAAAGCATGTACTAATGTAGGTTTTCCCTCTTCTTTCGTTTCTATCTTTCATACTTTTCTTTCGATGATTATTGATTCGCAGACATTTAATGTCGCGAAAGTCTCTAGACGAAATATGATTATCATCATATTAGTTCAAAACCGGCAAATATTTCAAATTCAATTCACCAGAACATTGAGATACGATAAAAATTAAAAAAAAACAATTGTGTATTTTGTGACACATTAATTGAAAGATTAATGTAGTGTTTTTTTTCTTCTGACTTTTTTTGCGACACTGAATACAGGCATTGATTTTTCTTTGTTAATTCTCAAGAAGAAACTTCATCCACTTTTGAAGAGAAAAATGCAAAAACGTAATTTATTTAAAAGCGTTATTCACAGAAAATGTATTGTCAGTTCGATTTTTTTTCCTATTGCTTTAATAAACATTGTACCGTTTTAACATTTACTGCGTATCATTAAATAATATTTCTAATATCAATCTTAGTCGTATTATTTACTAAGTAGAATAAATAGATTGTTATTCCTTATCTTTTTATCAGTAGCTTTCGATTTATATTATATTCATTGGAAAAGTAAACACTTTTATTTTCAATTGATACTCTAACTACTGATATCTCATTGCTTTCTGAAATTTATAAAGAACCAATATGTAATTTTTGCTTATGTGTTTGCAAACAGTTGCCAAAAAACAACTAGAATCGTTTGTATGTTCTTTTTTTTTTATTAAAAAGGGAGAAAAAAAAAGAAGCATAATTATGAAAAGTACTTCTGTAAAAAAATAACTAAGAGATGTCAACAAAGAAATAGGTGAACAGCAAACAAACTTTAAGGCACTTTTATTATTGCTGCCATCATTTCTTTCGATTTCCAGACACCTTGTCAACAGCTTTTTTTCGAGTTTGTGTCAATAAAAAACGATGTTATATTAATTCAATTGCTTTCCATAGTGAAAATCTAGAAACTAAGCAGTATACAGAAAAAAATTAAAAGAATATTTAAAAATCTTTTCTACAGAAAGGTATAGAGGTGAAAAGAAACACCAAAAGTAATTTAAAAAGTACCGAAACATCATATACATTACGTATAATAGAATTGTTTTTTTTTTCTTGCAAAATATCTTAATAGTCTCATTCAACATTAGAGTTAATTTATTTAAAATGATCGTACTCATCTATCATGAAAGTTGATTTTATTTTTCTAGTTCATTAATTATAGAAATTATTTAGTAAATAAAGATACAAATAATTCCGAAAAAAGCTGTCTCCTGCTGACAAGCAAAATTAAATTATTTAGAAAACGGCTTGTATCAACTTCAATTTTAACTCTTCAATCAGAAAACTATCTATCAGAGGTGTGCACCGCTCGTGCGATCCGTCCGTTTCACCTCGAGAAGTATGATTCATATAGTGCGGCCGCACCGTTCGTGAAATTTGCGAGCGGAACTGGTGCGGAGCGGCCGTCCTCGCCTTATATTACCGCTCGGCGGCCGCATGATCTAGATCTGTACATTTTGTGCAGAAATACATTCTGAACTTAAAAATGCCAAGTTTAAGCCGAGGTTGATATAGTTCAGCGACATACATAACTTTTTTCTGTTAACCAATATATGGCAACAGTGAAGCATCAACTGCGTACTCATGTTCATAATTGAAAGATATATCATTTTTATCTCGTTCATCAGCTCAATTATGACCTTAAAACCATTTTTGTTGTACACTAGGTATACATAGCATTATGTTTATACATGTGACGAATGTGTAACTTCGACAATGAACACTATCAAAGTTAGTTTTATTTAATTTATCAATAAAGAAAATTATTAAACTGAAGGTCGTATGCTGAACATATGATAAATAATTTTTTTCCAACAAATACTATCTGTTCAATCACATAAATTATTCATAAACTGTGACGAAGACAATTGATGATTACTTTAATGTTTCTTCATGTTTGTTACATTTATATCTGATAAATGTTTGCATATAACAAGTTCTAGCAATATGTAAAACTGGTTTTACGTAACAAGTTAACACGAAGAAGTATGAAAAAAAAGCTTGTCAGCGCAGCTCCTTTGGAGCTGAAATGTGGAACTCACGTATATCCTTTCAATTTGTTATTCTACTGCATTATTTGTAAACTAAACATACTATTTTTTCAAATAATTATGAATGCATTAGAATACTGTATAGAATCTGAAGCCTTTTGTGCGCGGTTGTTGACGTCTGTAATGGGGGGGGGGGGGGGGGGGGGGGGGGGGGGG